AGGGATTCGAACCCGCGACCCTCAGATTGTGAGTCGAGTGCCTTAGCCACCTGGCCATTTATATATATAGATAAAATTGAAGAAATGTGAAATTGTGTCTTTTTCAATGCTCATAAATAATAATTTATTTCTACAAATATGAAATTCTCAAGTACAAAGAAAATATAAAATTAGAGTTGTGCGCTATTTTTTATGAATCTAGGAACGAAAATATTGTATCAGAGATAATAATTCTTCATTGGTCCAATAGGGATTTCCGACGTAAGAAGAGCGTATAATGGTACTTTAACTTCACTTTACCTGCTGCATTTGCGACAAAGTCTTTTGCTCAATACCAAAGTTCATCAAGTCAGTGGATTACAAAACATAAACTTGTCTTATTTGTTAACATTTCTGGCCGAGAATCAGAAGGTCCAAGTTATATCCCCACAATATGCCACTGAAGGCACTCCGAAAATTCTGAAGTGGGTACGTTATAAAAGTAACTGTAAAACTTGATATTAATTTTTTTATAGTAGCCATGTAAGCAGCGGGCATTTATGAATGGTTGTCTTTCTGGTCAGGAAATCTAAATTAAGAATGTCTATTCCTGAATATTGGGGACTTTGACTTGGCCACTTAGCTTATATTTCATATAAGATGACATTCACATTGAAAATACCATGTCACATGAATACCTAAAGTGCTCGAAGTTGTTCATTAAGTACATCTAAACCTCAAAGAAGGCATTTACAAGTACATAATAATTTCTTTTTTGTTAGAATTCGTTATTTTATGAGATAAGCCAATAGCAGATTGAACTGGGTTTGCCCTTATAGTAGGTCGATTTAGGGCAGATTAATCAAATAATCATCCAGTCTAACTGGTTTAGTAAGAATTGAAGAAGATTATTGCACAACACCTTACCTTTCCTTAATAGCTTGGTACGAAGACGGAAGAGAAGCACAGTTTACACTCCAGTCTAGAGAACCCTGTTCGTTACAGATGGTGATACTAAAGCGTCCATAATTAGCTCGAATCAGGTGAATTTGCCTTCCTGTTTCACAAGAGATGTTGAGTTGTGTACCCTCGCAAGCGTAAGCAGTTAAGTAACCTCGATTACCTGAAATACAAACAAATAAAAAAAAACCTTAGGATATCGAGCTATTTATCTGTAAACCTTTTCGCAATCTGTATTACATCGAGATATTTGTAAATATTACTAATATTGTGTTTGCTTATCGCCTTATCTGCTAATCAACCTGCACCTGTAACAATATAATTTTAGCACGTGTAAGTGACCAGTCTACCAAATGTTTTATTATATTTTCTCATTCAGATAGTTCAGTAGGAATATTATATAAAAACTAATAACATCCAATCACGATCCTTTAATTATATTAACGTTTTTGTTCTTCAAAAACATGAATTATACTTAAAGACATTGATATAGCTATATCATAATATTTTGCCTCAGGTCTATTTTAACTTGTATCCTTTGTTACCATAGTGGCAAGCACAGTATTTAATATGTGGAAGATTACATAACAGAATAATTCCAAAAAGTATAGGAAAATAATCCGTAGATGTATTAACCCACCATTATCATCTGAGTTATCCAAGCAAGAAAATATCAGCAAAGCAAGTAATGTAAAGCTCACTAAACCAATTTCTTTCTAATTAAAACCAAACACACTCACCGTGCGAGTGGAAGTCAGTTGCTATAATTTGAAGATTGTAGTCCCATATATATTAAAATTTCATGCTAATCATTGTTAAAGCTATTGATTCAGAGATCACACAATTCGATGTCCATACTGTCACGACGTAACCTACTTACCGTAACTGAAAAAACAATGTTCTCTATCAATACTATAAAGATGATCAAATTTGTGTTGCTGTGGTTATTTACCTACTTGTTTTTCAATTAATCAACGCACAATGACTAGCTTGTGTTGTCCAAAATAACTAATTTACAAGTTTACCTGTTTGGTTTTGATGTAAAGTCCTTTAATCACCACTAACAACCTGAAATACTTTAAGTGTTTGGATGGATAACATGTGCCATACTGTCACAGTTAATTATCCATTATTAATTAGCGTACAAAGAGGTTATTATTTAGTCACTAATTTCTTTTCTTCATCACAACTTGAATTTAATCGAAGAAAAGATGATGTAGAAGCCTAAGCTATTCCGGCATAATTAATTATTCATTATTATACAATGGACTAACTGGTTATTTATAAAATAGCAAATCAAAGAATAGACTGGGTGTTTACGTTACCTTTTCACCATTGAAATTCACGTTATGGCGAATTAGAAGTGACCAACTAAATAAGTTTATCTGTTATTACCAACATTACGAGTAATTTGTGGTTTTTATAGTAACTGATCTTATTATTCACTGTTATCACTAAACGAGTCTATATTCTAATAATTAAAGCTGGGATATGAATTAGTTATAATGGCAGTTGATAGAAAAAATTAATCTTTCAAAATGCTTCTAATTTTTAGCTGAACTGCGTATTTACATATCAGTGTTTTGAAACGATAATCCTGATCTAAAAGCTAAACAGATATTTTAGGTATGCATCTGTTGTTTACTTTAAACGTGTTGTAAATATATTTAAGCAGACTTATATTTTAAATCAAATAATTACCACAAAGTATTTCCTACACATATTTTCAAACATGTCTTTATGCTTGAAAAAAATTATGGAATACAGAGAGTCATCGTAACTGTAAAAATGAACTTGTTTTATAGCAAAACTAATATTTGCAAATGAAAAGTTTGTGTTTATAAATCTTATTACTGTAAGTGATTCGCTACTACTTAACTCTCTTACTTGCGTTGCAGGAAATATAAAAATATGAGTAAAAATTCAGAAAAACTCGCCTTGAAAATGTTCGGAATCTTACATTTAACACGTTCGATAACGAATGATTGAAATAAAGTGAACTACGACCCATATATCTTGACAACTAAAATCATGCTGGAGCAGAAAGATCATTTGTTCAAATCGATTATCCATTTTGCTTTTGTCATATAAATTTCACAGTAAAAAAAAAAGTAAAACGGTTCTACTAGATTACACCGTACCAAAGTTTCTTTATTCCTTATAAAATATCATCAAATATATTTGTTTCTACCGGATACAATGCTGCTAATCTTCTAACTTTTGTGATATGACTTTCTATTAAATTTCATTCATCATATAAGTGAAATTACACTAAATATTCTATTACAAAGAGGGCACATTGAATAAACATTATGTTAATTTAAAAAAATCATTTTCCATGCACAAGTCAGAATAAGGGATACATGCGTAGAGCTATACTAAGGTGTATTTGAACCATGTTATATTATTTTGTTTCTATCTGTTTTGGGTATTCGCAATAAAGCCTTCAGAAGGACTATCTATGCTAGTCAACAGCATCCAACGACAACTCTTGGACTGCTTCATTTGAAGAGTGGTATCTGACTATCACTCTTATAAAGTACGTACGGAGCGCAATTTTGTATTAACGGGACGCGAATCGGGGACCCTCCTATTCTTAGTAAGGTACGCTAACTATCACAGGCCTGGTAGCTCATTAAATCTTACTTAACACGAGGTTGCGATAAGTCAACCAGTAAAGATTATTCAATAATTTCTTATCTATTAACGAAGATAATTCTAGTATATTTGTTTGCTGAATAAAATGGGAAATTTGTGAAATGAACGAATGGTGTGATAGCATTTGTTTATGGTAAAACTGGTACAAGCGTTGTAAACATGAAACAAGCGACAACATATTTTAGGCATATCTTTTCATAGTCAATCCCTTTCTATGCTATCCTATCTTTCTTTAGTAATTAAATCAATCAAATCTTCCGTATGCTTGTCTAATTAACCTATATTTTAAAGAAAACCGTTTTTATCATCCATTTCATACTGATGTAAAAATATCGTATAGAAAGGCTGGATTACTTTACCTCACCTGATGTCATTCTTTTGGTGCTTGTGTATGGAAATATATATAATTGATAACATATGCAATGGTTTTCAGCTGGTTTTGGTGAAAGAAAAAAGATTCAGAATCTCTCAATATGCACACGTTAACAAAGGTGGCGAAATAGTCCGATCTCTCGCTTTGTCTTTTTATCCACACCATCTGAAGACAAGCCTTGTATAGTTTGTGTCGTTGTGGATTCATTGGAAACCCTCAGTGGTAAGAGTGTTAAATTCAATACATGAAATGTAAATGATAGCTCCTCAAACTGTAAAACATTGTGGCTATGAAGTTGGATGAAAAACTTTATTTTGTACAAACCTAGCCGGTTACATTGTATATATATATATATATATATATATATATATATTATTGTTAGTGAGAGTACGAGGAGCTACGGTA